TTCTTATTAACAAACAGGCCAGAGAAATAATGCTAGGTTCCTGCTTACTCTGCCTCATCCTCTCATTCAAAAAAAAAAAAAAATATATATATATATATATATATATATGTATACATGCACACAAATATATGAAGTATAAAATATAATTTTATTTACAAAATTGCATATAGTATTATGTACATATATATACATATACATATGCACACCATCCACAGATAAAGAAATCAGAGGTGCACGATAGGCCAGAGGTAAGTGATATGACAAAGACTAGAATGTCTCCTCTAGAATGCCTTGCCAATTAATAAGGAACATTTTTGAGAAACCTCAAGAAATGCTGTGTTTAGTAGAAGGCCCGAGAGAGGTTTGCAATACAACCTTCTCCAGAAAGCTGTCTGACTCTCTCAATTCTTAGAATTCTTCTAATTAACTAAAAAGAGAATTTTTATCAGATATTCAGATATGAATCTCTCCCTTTAATAGAGACAGAATGCTTAGATGGAACAAAGATGAAACTGTGGGGTTCATTCAAATCCAAATCCCAAATCAAAAGAGTTATGTTTTATATGAAGCATTGTGAGCTCCACGAAAGAAAACAATGGCTGATTGGAAGGGAAGAAGAGAGAGGGAAGGTTTGAGAGAAGAGGCGAGGGAGGGAGGGAGAATGGGAGAGACAGAGGTCAGAGAGAAAGAAAGTCTGGTGGGCAAGAAAAACCTTCAAGGAAGCATAAGATGCTGGTGACATCATGTTCAAAATAGAAACTTTGGGGAAAAGCCTTTGGTTTTTACATCTTTGTATCTTAACATCATAATCTGGAAATTCAGTGTAGCAAATGGGAAGTTTAATGAAAAATCAAATGCGGCAAATCTGCTAGCACAAAGCTAGGTAATGATTTTTTTTTTCCTCTCTTCCACATGTGTATAATTATAAAATGTTCTCTTTGAAAGAAGAAAGTTTATCAAGACGCTTCATTTGCAACTGAAGAAGTGAAGGCAGAAAGAAGTAACAGGGTTGGTCTGAGGTCACCACCCTTGCACTGTACAACTGCAACTCAGTCTTGGGGGTCCCAGTCCTGAGTCTGGCCTCTGTCCCTTCCCCCGTGCACCATGGATTTGTTGATTTGTTGTCTTGTGAGGCTGCTGGCTACAGATTCCCATTCTTGCTATGAAATGGACAAGTTTCACTTTTTATTGGCTTGTCACATGAAAATAGGAACACCATGATCTAATAATCCAAATGTTAAAAAAACACATATCCTATGGCTACTGAAAGTTAGCACAGCTTGCCTTGGACCAGCTTAAACCAGCACGATGAACCATTATTGATAAGAAAGACCATGGTATATGCACAATCTTGAGGCTATTTTATTTGAGGTTAATCTTTAGAAACTAAATGGGTATGTAAATTAAGTTTTCCATGTTTATTCTTGAAACTTTCATAGGTAAATCTGCTCCAGAAAATATCATAAGCCTGTAAATACCATGACTGCTAAGAAACAAAAGCATTACCATAAGCAGTCTACCTTTCTCCAAAAAGAAAAGTTTAAGGCCACATTTATGCAGCCAAGTTCTACAAAAGATTCAGATACATGGTATTAAAAACCAGCCATAGCAAAATTGCCATCAAAACCAGGTGGGCTCACAAACATGCTGGCCTTTGGTTCTACCCTTTGCCCCTAAAAAACAAAGATAAGTAATTTTTTAAACAAATGAGAAAAAAAAAGCTAAATCCATAAAGACAAGACAGTATAAAAAGAAGCCAGAAAGCCAAACTTTCACTGACTCAAGAAAGCTACATTGTAAGCCAGATGCCTGTGGCTCACATCTGTAATCCTAACTACTAGGGATGCTGAGATCCAGAGGATCCTGGTTCCACATCAGCCCAGGAAAAAGTTTGTGAGACCCTATCTCAATCAATAAAAAGCTGGGTGTGATGATTCCTGCTGAAGCAGGAATCATCAAAAAGGAAGATCATTGTCCAAGTCAGCCTGGGCAAAAAGCAAGACCCCATCTCCAAAATAACCAGAGGGAAAAGGGCTGGAGGTATGGCTCAAGCAGTATAATACCTGCCTAGCAAGTGTGAAGAGTTCAAACCCCAGTACCACCAAACAAAACAAAACAAATACCAAAAGGCAGAATTCTAGAGCAGCAGTGTTGAAAAACCAAGAAGCATCCACAGGAACACTGAGAAACAACTGCCTCATCTTGACTCAGACACTGTCTGCACCTGCAGCACCCCTACAGGCAGTACCCCTGTAGGTGGGGACAACCAGAGATTACTGAAGTGGAGGACAGGCTCAAAGGTTGAACAGAAGTTAAGCACCTAGACTCCCTCTTTGGTTCTAGGTAAATGCTAACTGCTCTTGGCCAACCTGGCAGAAGTCTGAAGAGGACGAAACAGAAGATCTTCTGGGTATTAATCCTGGGGAGATCAAGGTTCCTGCCCTGGGACCAGGAGATAAGTAAACATGTTTCTATTAACTTCTGAGACCTCTTTTTTTTTTGCCCTGTTTTTCAATTCCCACAAAGTGGTCACCCAGGTTTCTGCCTTCATGGTAGGGTAACAGAAAAAACTTCCCATGGGCTGGTGAGATTTTTAGAGGAAACAGAAAATATGGAAAAGGACTCTGAAAATCGTGTTCTATGTCCAACACCTAACAAAGTCCACAGTTGGTGAGTTCAGATCTGTACACAAAGTTTTCATTTGCCTCTCCTAAGTACGAGCACACAGCCAAGGACACCTGAGCATTTAGGGAAAGCTTCTAAAACAGACAAAGGCCAAAACAAACAGAAGAATCCATCTGAGGGGAACAAAGATATATACAAAGAGAAGAGATTTTTAAAAGTATCATTAACAGTTCCAGAGAAACAGAACAGAGTATCACCACAAACAAAAAAAACATGATGCTATCAAAACAGAAGTGAGAATTCAGGTATAAAAATTAGAAGAAATGAAACCCCAATAGAAAGTTTAAAGGTAAGATTAAGGCTGTCTTCCAATACAGACAGCAAAAGCAGATATAGAAAATAACATAGAAAGAAAATAAAAAGTAGACACAGCCACTGTAGGAAGGCCATTATCCACACAACAACAAAAAACAGAAATAGTAAATAATTCAAAAAAAATTCTAAGAACTAAAGGACATGAATTCCAAGATTGAATGAACCCAACAAGTTCCCAGTATCACAGATGAAAATCTATTCACACCAAGATACATCCTTGTACAATTTTAGAGGCCTTGAGGCCTCCAGAAAACTAAAACCTAAACAAAAAAACATCAAAAATGAGAATGATATCTGTGGGATTCTGGACACCAGAGGAAAATGAAGCCTTCAATATTTGTAAGGAAAGTAGTTTCCATTCAGTCTGCAGTTTTATATCCAGCCAGATTATTAATTAAGCATGACAAAAGAATATAGGCTGCCTTATCATCAAGGTCACAAAAAACCCTCTCTCTTAACACACTATCTTTTCTTAGAAACTACTGAAAGATGGATTGTCAAAATAAAGAAGTAAATGAAGAGAGAAAAAAACAGTGTTCAAGAAAGAGGGTGCTCAATATAGAAAAAAGGCAAAGAAGCCCCACCATGATGCAGAAGCAGGACAGGAGGTTCCAAGGGTCATTGCTTCAAGGTGAAAATGAGAGATTGCTTAATATATTTGAAGAGCAAAAAAGGACATTTATATAATGGGAGTTAATTTAGAGATGATTTGGTGCTAAGTATACATAAAACAAATAAAAAATGAAACAACTATTAATTCCAGATAAAGTAAAAAAAGATGTACAGGAAGAAAATATAATACATTGCCCCGTTCAGCTTCACATGCAGGTTTACACAGTCTAAGTATAAACACAGAAACATGGGCTGTAGGTTCTTGGGATTTATAATTTATTGGGAGGGTGTTGGGATGGAAATCATTTTGGAGGGAGTAAATTTGTGTACAGGTATGGATATGGAAGACAAAGAAAACTAAAACCCTAAATTCCATAAGTTGACCAAAAAAATCAGATATAGCAGTAGAAGCAATTTTACATAGAAATATACAAAGAAATCATGAAAGGAATGGCTAAAGAATTTAAGGCAATTGTTCACAGAAGGTAGGAATGGGGTAGAGGGTGTTGTGCATTTGTTATTATTTTTTTTGTAGCAACTCTCATGCAGGTTTTTTTTCCTTCTTTGTACTATAAGTATGTAACTTTGATTTTCAAAAACTAAATTTAAAGAAAATAATTAATTTTTACAATGACTCACAGGTAATCAACAGTCTTAGAAACAAACTTCTAAATCATTCCCATATATCAAATGCTAATTTCACCTTGAATTTTCCTAACCAAAATCATAGAAGGTGCTCCTCACCCATTGTGATCTAGTTCATCCTGTCTATATCATTCTTAAGTCTGTTTTTGTTTGTTTCTTAAGTGATTAATTCCAACTCAGCAAACTGCTCCTGAAATCTGTGTGTAACTCTAGAGCACCAGAACTCTTCAGACCAAATTAGCTGTCTACTAGCTCTTGAAAGTTCAATAAAAACTAACAGGTACATCCACAAGCTCGTGACCAGGTAATTGTGTGAACATTATGGTAAGTAGGCACTAAAATCAGCGCACCATTTTAAGATACTCCTGAAGTTCAAATGTCTGACATCAACACTTTTCCACTGGATTTCTATTTCAACAAACATCAATTCTTCTAACCAATACGCAAGCACAGAAATAACCCACTCATCTAACATTTCCAATGCAAGTCTCCAGGACCAAGTTTGGTCTCCAAAGTTTGACACATATCATAAAGTCTATTGAAACCAGGTCGAATTTGAAAGAAAAATACACACTCATGAAGCCACAATCAAGAATATTCAGAAAAGCTCTGTCACCATTTATTAAAAGAAGCCCGCCAGAAAAATCCAAAATTTTTTTCAGAGTAAGGAATGTAATGGGATTCCTCCCACTTGTGAAGATACACATGACAAATTATGTTCTCAGGAAAAGAAACACACTTACCTCTCACAAGCTCGGACAGTCCACGCGGCAATTATCCACAGTGAGATACTAAAGACCAAGAGCACAGTTCCTGGACAGATCGTCATGAGCGTCTTCATGACAAATCGCGTATTGAAGTTTATCTTATTAAGTGCCCCAATGCTTCTAGAGGAGGCATCAGTGAAAAGTTTGCTATGCAAAAGCATGACTCTGGCAATCAGATAGAGTCTTAAGAACATTGGTATAGATAAAATAATATCCACATCAGCGGTGGTTGTGGATGGGGCATAGGAGAAGGCAAGCCGGGCCGTCCACGTGAACGTGTAATTCCCAGGTATGGGATGGATAGCACACACCAGAATTTCCAAGCAGATGAAGAAAATACGCTCATAAGTCATGGCTATTCTCCAGTCATCTGCTCCATTGTCCACCATGAATAACTGAAAAAATAAAGTAGGAGATCAGCTTCAGTATGGCATGAATGGTCCACAAGCGTTAGTGCAGATCTTAAAAAGACACAACAGATGACTCTTGGCAATTGTGGCGAGCTAAAGTTTACAGCTTTTAAATGCCAGCCAAGGCTACTACTTTTAGAAAAGGGGATGGGTGCCAAAGGGGAATTTCATTTTGTAAGATTAAAATAAAAAACTTGCCACATGGGCACAGTTAAAAAGGATTTTGGAGTCCATCTTTCTAGAGAATCATATAAGCAACATCATTTTAAAATAAAGGGCTTAGGGCCTATCAGTAATGAACCCTCACCCCCCATATGAAGTCAAAATGGATTTTCCTTATAGCGTGCAGTTCTCCACTTTAAGAGACTGGATTTAAACCCTTACACAATTCTAACTATTTAGGGTGAATCTATTTAGAGTGCTTCTGCAATCAGTTATACCCTATAATGCAACAACACATGAGCGTTCTTACAGGAAATCTTATTCTTGGTTTCAGAGAAAATTACAAGAGCCCACAGACAAATGTGGCACAGACATTTCTTCCAGCTTCCTTACTACTCTTCTATTTCCTTTTTTAAAAATCTTTTCTCATCCATTCTCCCATTGCCTTGCTTTTCTTTTCACAGAGATTCCTTTTTCCTGACATTTCCTCACACCACAATTAAAGAAACTAAACATGAGAGAACAAAAAAATATAGGTACAGAAAAGAATGTCTGTCTCTCTCCCTCTCATCCCCTTTCTCGGCCCCCCCCTTCTCCCTCCCTCTTTCTCTCCTTTCCTCTCCCTCTTGTTTGACTATTTGTAAATAAGCCCCAACAGGCCCTGGCAGTCCAGAGGCATTTGGAAACTGTGGTGGCTTTTCTGGTTGCCATCATGATTTGTGGAGGCTACTGACATTTAGTGCCAGGAAGCCATGAGTGCCAACCACACTGCGATGCTGTAGTCCCATGCGCTGGGAAGCCCCGTCTGCACAGATGACCTCAGCGCTCCCCTTCTGAGAAAGACGTCATGTTTTCTGTCTCCTACTAAGTAGCCTGCTCAAGCAGGAAGCATGACATGAAAGCAACCTGAAAACAACCAGTGCACTCTCAGGTAAGTCAGCTGCAGGGGCATGGGGGAGTGAGTTCTCCACATGGTTGCATTCTGTGTGTGCTGTTCCTCTGGAATCAGAGAAGTAATGTCCCCTCATTTAGATAGTGATAGAGCTCCCAGTTCTTGATGAATTATTCTGTTGTTAACAGCCCTTTCCAGAAGGGCTGTTATTCAAACTGGTCACTGCCTTGGTATTACTCTTCAAAGACAGGAATTTAAGGGCAAAAATTGCTGCTTCTTTCTGGTGGATGCCTCAGGGAGCTGGAAAACCAGCAGCCTCTCTCACCCAAAACTTACCAGAATTTTGATTGCCTACTTTCTTCACCAAACTTGATTCTAAATGACTTTTGAATTTGTAAAACTCAAGTCCACCACTGAAGGAGCTTAAAATCACCAAGACTAAATTGTTAAAAGCTGTGTACCACATTCTGACCCTGGTTTGGGGGGAGGGGGGTTCCTCACACCATTTGGTGACATAGGTAACTGCGAAAGAAGTGGCTGTTGACATGTATACATCTGACATCTCACTTCCAAGTAGTCATCCTTCTCCCAGAACTGGCCTCCTTCCACCCTCCCCCACATACTGCTCCTCTTCCTCACTGTGCTCTCCTCAGCACCTCTGCTCATTTCCCTCACTAGGCTACTCTCTGTTGAGTCACATGGCTTCTTACCAAATCTCCCTGACATTCTCAGCAGCCTCACCCTTCATCTTCAGGGAGCATGCCCAAGTACCTCCCAATCTGGACTTAATGTCCAGGTTGCTGCAGGTGTTTTGGGCCTTCCACATGCCTGTGCCTTCAAGATCAGCTGCATCCTTGGAGTCACCCTTGTAGTTGTTTGCTTGTCCCGTGATAGCTTTCTCCTCAAGGGTCACCTCTGTTCCTCTCTCATCACACACATCCCCCCTAGTATCAAAGGAAACAGCTTTGATTTCATACTTCAGCCACAAACTCACCCACATCTGCACCCTTTTTAACCTCCTCTCTCTTTTGCTTCATATGGCAAAAGAAATGTCACACCAAAATGCAGTTTTCCTGCATTGAGAGCTCAGTTACTGTGCCTCTTCCCTCTGGGCAGAGGATACAACCGAGGTCAATTCCCTACCATTTACTAAAACATAACAAAGAATAACCAGGGTGGCTCTGTCTGCCCTCACTGTTTGTTTTCTTACTTCTTCAACTCCAAAATCCTTCCACTTGGATCCCACTGCCATCAGCCCACCAATATCATTCTTCTGAAGGTCACTAGAGCGATCATTATGAAATCTGATCCTCCGATCTTAATTTTTATGTTACTTATCCTGTCATTCCTTCCTTCCTTCCTGAAAAAGATCTCTGCCCTTGGATCTTTGACAATGTTACTTTTGTCATCTGCTGCCATTCTCCATGACCTTGGGCTCCTCCCCCACGTTAGTGTTCCTCTCTAACTTTTCTGACTCTGTATCCTCCTGGGTGATCTCATCCATCATTTTTACCAGGCTACTCCTTTTGGAAACCATCCTCCATTATCTGATGGCCTCTTTAAAATGGAAATTATGTAATCCCCAAATCTCTCCAATGCCTGGTGGGTAAAGTGGAATCTACAGTCACAGTGGTCTGCATTCTATGATCTGGTTTGTCTATGTCCCCAACCTTACTGCCTGCCATACCCTTCCATTTCCCATTCATTGCACATTCAAGAACACACTGCCCTAATCTCTTCTGTGCCTGTACATTCTGTCCTGAGGCCTGCAAAGTGTCCGTTTAGCAAATTCCTATTCCAACCATACGCCAGATTTCACACTGCCTCCTGTAGAACGTTGTCCATTCCCCCATCCAAATTTGAAACCTCACTCCTTTGTTCCACCATGATCCCTGCAGGTGATTCTGATTGATGCCCTCACAGAAGACAATGAGGATTCTTTTAAGACTGTCACCCGTAGTTGTCTCTGAGGCTCCTTCAGGATAGGAAATAAATCGACTAGCAGAAAAATCAAAAGCTTGTTACAGGAACTGCCTTTATATCTCTCAATAATGACTGTCCTAGTCACTAAGCAGGCCCTAATGTTCATCAAATATGTCCATGGAAGATGGAGAATGCTAAAGCATGATTCAAGTGAAATCTGATACTTTCCAAATTTATAGAGAACACGTCCTACGAAGTAAGTCACAAGTTCTACAACTTTGTAAATGACACAGAAAGTTCAGACAACGTTCCCACAAAAAAAGATTCTATTTTATAGCTTCTTTTTATTATCAAGGATCTCAACTCATTAAATAACTTTATTCTTGTTTGGCTTTATCATAGCATACATTTAAATGTTAAGTTGAGAAAGAAATATTGTCTCCTGTTCACCACATAATCCTTGCTCTCAATGTGGCTTGATTTTTTTGTTCGTTTATTTAATAGCTGTCCAGAGTACTGAGTATCCTATGCTAGTACTGAGCAGCATGTGCCAGTGCTGTGCTACATGCTGGCCATATGGTAGGGATTACTATAGACAAGAGTTTGCCCACTGAAAGTAACTTTCACGAGAAAAGAAAGACAAAGCCAAGAAAGTAGACTTAAAGCAACTTAAGAAAGTAATTATGCCTTTGAACGTGCTATGAAGGAGAAAAACAAAAGGCAGACTAAAGAACAATAAATTAGAGATGGCAGCAGATGCAGTCTAGAGAGGCCTTATTTAAGGTGAGCCCTTACGGAGCACAGATAGTCCTGTTAACAATTAGGGGAAGGTCATACTGTGGGCTTTATAAAAGCTTAGTATGCTGAAGGAAATAAAGGAACTAAGAGTGGCTGAAACTTAATGATCGAGGGCAGAATGAAGGGGAATGATTTTTAAGAAAGAAATTAAGACCAAATGAGCAAGACCTTATTATTTCAAAACTGGATTTCATTCCAAGTGCAGTTGGGAACCTACTGAAAGGTGGGCAGAGGAATGATATAATTGATTTAGCTAATATGACTCACTTTCATTACTGTGGGGAACCCCAAGTGGAGAGAGCCAAGTGTGGAAGGAAGGATGGTACAAGTTAGGAAGTTATACTGCATTTGATTGGTTGTAGTACAACTGTGACCTGGACTAGAGTTGTCATGGAAATGGAGGCAGTGCAAACACTGGACATAAGGCTTGACAATCTTTGTAGAATTCGCTGAAGAGCTGAAAGCAGAAGTGGTAAAAGAAAGACCCACAGATAGTTACTGAGTTTCTACCACGGAAAACAGACTGGATGGTGGTGCCAATTCCTGGGCAGATTTCCTGGGCCCTGCAGGATGGTGAAGGTTAGAGATTCAAGGCTCTGTTTTGGCCACTGACTCTGAGAACAGATGTCAAGTATGTGGTAAGATGTGCAAGTCACACTGAGGAAAAGTCTCAACTATTGAAGTGAATTCTTGAGGCATCAGTATTTTAGTAGTTTTATGACAAAAAAGAAAATTACAGATATTAAAAACAATAGGCTAGGACAGTACTCAAGGTCAAGTCCTGTGGAAGCCTAAATGTGGAGGCCACGTGGAAGGTGAAGCTCTAAGAGGATCTGAGGTGCAACACTGTGAAGCAGGAAGAAAAGAACATTATCCTTGGAGTCAAGGGTAGGAGCCATCAATTACAAACTGCAAAACAGTATTTACCAGCTTCAGAGATGTGTTAATATACTCAGAAATCTCTACAGAAGACAAAAACACTCTAAATATCACAGTCATTCAACCATTCATTCAATGTCAAATATGAAAATCCAACTGTAGAAATATCCTTTTCATTCCATATACTTTCTATAATCCATGTGCTTTAAATTCACTTGTAGGGAAGTTAAAGTAATCAGAAGGACTGATATTAAAGCCGATCTATGTTCATTCATTCTGATGTTCTTAAGAGAAGAAAGATTTTAGGGCAAAAGTACAACAATTTAATCTG